ACCGTTCCTTGTAGAGTACTATACCTTTCTCTTTTCTTTTTCTTTTTCTTTTTCCTTTTCCCTTTTTCCATTTTTTTTTAAGTATAATGATCAAGTTCCTTTCTCCCACCAGTTTTTCCCGTTCCTTCTAGAACATCCCACCTCTCCCTTTTCTTTTTCTTTCATTTATTTCTTGACAAAAAACAATCAAATAATTAAATATTGTTGACAAGAACTTCTGTTCTTTCCTTGGTAAAGTGAATAAGTGGAAAAGAAAAGAATAGAAATAAAGAGAAAACAATGTGCACGCGACTACTAAAATCAGTAAAAAAAATATTTTTGGAAAAATTAAACCATGAGGGGAAAATAAATAAGAAAAAAAAAATCCTTAGTTCATAGTTTCATCATTTATCTTTCTACAAAAAACAATGACGATGTCATGTAGTTGAGTCAAATAATTAAAACGCAAATATGGATTATCACACTTCTAGTTCACTCTTCTAGGATCCGACCCCTTAACTTGTCCATTCAACTCCTAGCCTACTTATTCTCCATCATGAAGTGGTTGTAGTTAGCATATGTACTTTGTTGTAACTTCAAGAAGCTCCTCATTCGAGTCCTTGATAGCTCAGAGGATCTTCTACGCATCGTAACTTGGTAAACTTAAGTTATGAGGAAATCCGATGAGCCAGTTCCACAAATGGAGAGCTCCGATGACAGTTCAATCGACCTTGCAAGGTTTCATATTTCTTTTAATATCTAACATATTTTAGTTTTCTTTTAAAATTAAAACAAAGGATTTTTGCATCAGATCATTATGGTTGTTCGAAATAGGAATAAACAAATCGAATAAATGAATTTCATGTTTAATTCTTGTGTATTAATTTTTCAGCTTGTCAGGTGAAAATTTTTTAGAGCTTGCAAAAGGGCAGTATGGCAAGAGAGATGGAGGAAATAGATCAACGTGGTCAATACAATGCGATAGAAATTCAATACAACGTGCTATACAATCTATATTGTTTGGGATAGGATGTTTGTTCGTCATCATGATTTATTTTGGCCCGATGCTTGTGGACCCTTTGTTCTTGTACGTTCCCATCATCAATGAAAATATCAAGTGTCTCGCGTTGGACGAAAAATGAAAAAAAAATAGCTATTGTTTTGAGAGCATTTACAGATCTTGTTTATCTACTTCAAATCATCTATTTTGTGTTGCCTACGTGGTGCAAATTGAGCTTTATGGAAGATCTCCTAACTGCTGATGAGTTTTTCGTACTACGCAAATCCCTAATACAAAACATTTTAGCTGTTCTTCCTATTCCACAAGTAAGTCAGTTACTTTTCTGAGGTAAATTATTTTTCGTAATCTCTTAAGTCATATATTAGGAATTAGGATAATTTGATTTTGCTGATTCTGTCACACAACACTTTTAAGTTTAGCTATTGGTTTGCATTTGTGTACAGATCGTAATTCTAATTTTCCTTCCAACAACGAGGAACTCAAGATCTTTGAATAGAATGAAGTTTTTGAACTCACTTATTCTATTGCAATATGTTCCACGAGCTTATCCAATGTACAGAGTATGTATGGACTTTAACAAGGAAACACGTGAACGTAGCAAGGAACTTGCTAGGAGAAAGCAAATATGGATTCCAGGTTTATTAAATTTCATCATGTACATCCTTGCTAGCCATGTAAGTTATTGTCTTATCTTAGTTTATTTTAACTACTCCCTAAGTTGCTTGTAAATATCGTTGAGTTACAAATGTCGTTCTTGGTTTGTTAGGTACTTGGAGCATTTTGGTACTTTTTTTCTGCTCAGCGAGAGATAGATTGTTGGATCTCTGCTTGTCGAAGTGAAAATGGATGCAGCTTAAATACTTTACAATGTGATAATACTCCTTTCAGAAACGTCACACTTCTAAATGATTTATGTCCAACAAATCCACCAAATCCAATGGCATACGATTTTGGCATATTCATTGACACTCTCCAGTCTGGCATAGTGGGAACAACAGATTTTCCTCACAAACTCTTGATGTGTTTCTCATGGGGATTACGAAATCTGAGGTTTGTCCGACCTAAGTATTTTTATTCTTAGATATTGCGTCATGCACATGAATTTTTTTACCATACCGGTACATGGAATGTGCCCGTGTTTGACTATCAAGATTCAGTCTCGCAAGCCGTCCAATGAGTTGCCCCTTTTCAAATATTGTTTTAATATATTGCTCCAATGAATTCTGCAGTTCTTTTGCTTCAAACCTCAACTCTAGTACCTATGCATGGGAAAGCGTATTTGTAATTTTTATTTCGATCAGTGGCCTGCTACTATTCATGTATCTGCTTGGACATGTGCAAGTCGGTGATGAATTATATATTGTGTATCTGGTTTTCTTTTGAGTAGTTTCTACATATATGCATGTAAATTTCAGGATTTAATAAACTCAATGTCAAGCCTCCGTGTTGTGGAGTAGATATTTATGCAGGCAATTAGCAAAACATCCAAGATATCTTAGCGGAAATCAGTCATATTTCCACAAATAGAGTTCATGGTATCTGAATATAGACTCCGTAGCGAAATACAAGATGAGATTTGGGAATTAGTAAGAGAAGCACTTGAAGTGGACGAAGATAATCCTGCGGCGAATATCTTCTCGTTACTTCCTTTGGAACTTAAGAAACATATGAAGTGGTATCTCTTCTTGGCTACACTACGGAAAGTGATGTCCTATCTCTCTCAATATCTCCATGTACATAACTCTATATAAACTTGTGGCGGTAGATGGTTTTTCGGAGTATTTATTAAATATAGTAAAAAATTAACCATTAATTTAAAAAATGTCATTTTTTATAAAATCTTTCAAATATATCCAAAATTACACCTAAATAGGCACAAATACCCTTAAATTTAATAATAAAATAAATTAAAGGTTTTTTAGCCAAAATGATTCGTGATATTGACATATCTCCTTAATCTGGTCCTTAACAATTAATGACAATCAATAATAGTGTTTTTGAAATTGTCTATTGTGAATCATTTTTGTCTTTCTTTGAATTTGTCCATCGTGATCATTTTAGTTTTTTTCATGAAAAATCTGTTAATTGCTCTGTTAGATGTGGCGTCACGTGGGTCTCAGAAATACAATCATATAACGATATGTGGATTAACTTTATTTTTATATTTAAAACTAAAAATGATAGTAGTAAGAAAAAATCGTTGAATGCATGATTGAAATTATGCTGCTCCTACTTACGGTAACCGCAGTGGCGCTCAATGTCGGTGATGAGGGGGTCGAAGGGGATAGGGTTGTGGTGGTGGAGTGTCGAAGCGAAGGTAAAGTTAGACCGGAGCTTGAGGCGACAGTAACTAAAAAGCTTTTAATTTATTTAATTGTTAAATTTAAGAGTATTTGTATCTATTTAAGTGAAATTTTGGATATATTTAAAAGTTTTTATAAAAGGTGACATTTTTGAAATTAGGAGTTAATTTTTTGCTATATTTGATAAATACTCGGTTTTTTCGAGTAGTCTAGTTAACGAATTCAAGCTATTATATAGATAGGAGCATGAACTCCCCTTTGAGTTCTTATCGATGTATTCTTAAGTTTCTAATTACATGTATGAATTAACCCCAGTTGCCAGGGCTTGAAACCAAAGACAGAAAAGTGTTGAACGCAATCATGGAGCATCTTGAGCCAGTTGACTATGATGATGGTAGCCGTATTATTCGAGAGGGGGACCCACTGGATAGGATGCTCTTCATCACGCAGGGCATTGCACTTGTTTACAAGACTACTACTACTGGTGGCGAAAGTGGCTCGTCAAGCACTGCATATCTTGAGAAAGGTGATGTTTATGGAAAAGAACTTATAGGTTGGGCGGCGACATCTACCCGACTTTCCGGCTTACCCATCTCAGGCCAAACTGTCAAGTCCCAAGAAAAAGTTGAAGTCTTTGCAATCAGGGCTGCCAGATTAAAAAGTATTGTCTCCGACTTCCCGACGCATTTCAACACAGAGGATATTACTATGGTGGAAATAACTAGTAACTAAATTTTTAATTCAAAATAATTATATATTCAGCTATTTTTCAAATTTAAAGAATTTAAACGTCATCTACTTTCCTCAACATTAGCAAAACACAAGAATACCTGTCAGGTTCAATTGCACCACAATTGTAATAGAGAAAGCTCTTTATGTGAGTTTCAATGGTTGTTACAGTCGTAATGAAGGTTTAAGCAGCAATCCAAAGACTCCTCTCAGCAGTTCCATTGAGAAATTGACTAATACTATAGACTCTCGACCAATACAAAACTAAGTTGCAATTCTTCTGAGTGCAGGTCTAGAGGAACTTCCTAACCAAAGATTGGTCCTATAATATTTCATCACTATTTTTTTTTTTTTTTTTTTTTTTTTTTTTTTTTTTTTTTTTGTGCTAAATAGGATCCAAATTCAATCACTCCAAGTAATACCAATCATGGAACCGAACGAGAAGGAGTCTGTTTCCTTTCCTACTTGCATTGAACAGATTCAAACAGGAATCCAACAATATATGTACATACAATACATATGCCAAAGTCAGAAACATCTGATCAGACGAGAAACATAAAGCAATTACAAAACAAGCTCATAAGTGCCAACCAACAACACATCAACACGAAAAGTTATCCACAATATCGACCAAAATCCCTAATTATAATCCATTAAAACGAACATTCTAATCTAAATTTCTACACATAAAGAAAAAGAAAGCGCTGTGGTCCTGTAATTTGTTGATATGCAGCGTGGGCTAGCTGATTCGGTATATTCACCATTAGCAACCAAATTCAAACATGGTATTCAATTTTTCCGGATTTTCTCGGAATCCAAACGGAGGATAAGAAAAGGGGAGTTAAGGCAGAGGAAAAAAATCACGAGCTGTCTGACACGGAGAGCCTGGAGAAATTTCCGGGCTAAGATCGCAGCCATGGCCACAAGTTGAAAGCCACGGAAATCGGAGGTAGCTTGAAATGCAAGCCATGGAAGTTAGGTCTCTCTGCAACCTCGAACCTCAAACACTGTCGAGCCATGGTGATGGAGAAAGTCGGGTCAAATTCTATGGCGAATATTTCTGGGCTTCGCGGCCCGCTGTGGTGGATGCAGTGGGCCAAGCGTGGCTGGGCAATCGCTGCCGTCGGATTCGCTGTCTTCGTCTTCGTCTTCGCTCTCTCTGTCGCCTCCTACTATCTGAGTTCCGAGCCGGAGTCCAACACCGCAACTCATTTCATCGCATCACTACCTCCGATTTGATCGACCTGACATTGTTGCACAGCGCCAAAGATAGAGGCGCCCGTACTGCACCGTAACCCTTTGCTAATCAAATTTTAATTACCATGTGTTTCAGCTACTAATTAATTTCTCCTTGATTTGATTACCCTCTTGTTTAATTTATGGTTTTGCAGTTTGTTTAGATGGAAGTTTGCCTGGCTACCATTTTCAAAAGGGATTTGGATTCGGCGCCAAAAATTGGCTACTTTTCATTGAGGTCTTAACATTTCAAAATTCTTATGTTGTTGGAAAGGCGCAGAGATAACTGGTTATGAACTTTTAATCGAAATTGGAATTGAACGGATACTAAATAGACAATAAAATGCCCTAAACCTTAGTGTTACATGCGTTATGTTTTCCGATTAATAATTTCTTTAAAATTTTGTAACCAATTCTGTTTGTGCATATTTCTTGCAATTGTTTTGTTCTATTTCATTGCATTTACATGTTCTAGTTGGTTTGTTTATTAAGATGGAAAAACTATGTGTAATGGATTTAGGTTGAAATGTTGAAATGTAGGGTGGAGGTTGGTGCAACACAATAGAATCGTGTATTTTGCGTAAACATATGCATTTAGGATCTTCCAAACATATGGGACGTCGAGTTCACTTTTCTGGGATTTTAAGCCCTTACCCTGACCATAATCCGGGTAATTATATTCTGCTCAGTTGCTTCGTATATGTACGATCACCATAATGCTTAATTATTTGTAGTTTTAACTCAATGTCAAGTTAAACAGCTAACTGATGTGATTCAATTCCAATTTTGGAGCATTCTCTAGGATTCTTTAACTGGAACCGAGTCAGAATACAGTATTGTGATGGCGCACTTATAGCCGGTCACCCTGATAATGAGTTGAAGGTAAGTTATGTTCGGAGATTTTCTGCCTTGTTTGAGAATCAGTAGTAATTTTATTAATGGAGGTTTTATTGCTCTTCAATGGTATAGAATGGAACGGAACTTTTCTTTAGGGGCCAGCTCATCTGGGAAGCAATTATGGATGAACTCTTGTCATTTGGCTTGTCAAAAGCGGAACAGGTATCAATCTTACAGGCCCTTCTTTCAGGCCCTTCTTTTGGGAAGCAATAATGTGTGTGAATAACAATCTTACAGGCCCTTCTTTCGGGATGCTCTTCTGGTGGGGTGGCGGCTCTTATACATTGTGATGAATTTCGACATCTTTTGCCTAAGGATGCCACTGTCAAATGTCTAGGGGATGCGGGTTTTTTTCTTGATGAGTATGTTTTATGCATACCAGTTCCTTCTGCACCAACATCTTTTAGCTAATCTGCTTGGCATGAAGTTTTTCTAGGATCATATATTTTCACATGTGAACTCTTCGAGGGCCATAATTTCGTTCTTATCTTTGCTGTTTCCTTATTCTACTGTTCCTAGTTCATACATTAGGAAATAAGACCTATCACAATCGAACACCTTTGAACCATTCTCTTTTCTATCAAATTTGCAATTCTCCCTCTCAAGCGACACTAGGAATGTTGAAATTCTTGCAAGGTCTTACTAACTACTTGTTCTACATGTATAAAGCCCTTTTTTTTAAAGCATCATCTGTGCTCTTACTAGTGATCACATAGCTACATTCTGTTTCGTAAATTTCAGGAAAGATGTTCTCCGCAATCCTACCGTGAGATCTCTCTTTCGTGATGTTGTCAACCTTCAGGTTATGCTCTAACATTGACGATACTAGCTTGTACAATCCCTTTCTTGGTGATACTTATCCTAGTTTTTGGGTATAACTTTAGTTACTACCTAGGGGATAGTGTAGGGTTGTTGGGTTTGACGGATGGAATGAATATGAGGTGTAACATCACTTGTCAATATAATTTTCAATCTTTACTATGGTACATCTGTTAATTCTTATTTTAGACTTTGGCATGTCACACTGATTTTCTTATTCATGCTGTATCAGGGGTTAGCGAAAAGTTTGAACAAGGATTGTGTTGCAAGAATGGAACCAGATAGGGTAGATTTTATTTTCTTCTTTTTTATATGGTACCAATGATTAAATTTGGGATGTTCTTATTTTTCCTCTAGGTTATGGTTTTTAACACAGCCCCAATCGTTTGTTGTGAACTTTTATGTAGTGTATATTTCCTGAAGAAATTGTTAAAAACATCAAAACCCCCGTGTTCCTCGTTCAATCAGCTTATGATTTTTGGCAAGTAAGCTTCCTCAGAACTCAAAGCTTCATTTGCTTATCATCTGAATTTGACTTACATCCCTTTTCTCTTTTTTCGTATGTGATGATCATTAGATACAAAATACCTTGATACCTAAAGCATCCGATCCACATAGCTACTGGGAAAAGTGCAGACTGAACATTTATAATTGCAATTCTACCCAGGTTGAAATACTTCTAGGTATGTATATACCACTGTCGTTAGTCAAAAGGTCGATTTTTGTTCAGGGTCTTCTTGTTATATTACATTGAAACTAGGATTCTTACTGTCTTTCTACCAATTGCAAATGCAATCAGCGGGCATTACCTGCAGCATCACTAGCTCGAGGCCTCTTTTACAGAAAATATGATTCATTCATCGGACACTAATTGGTTGTATAATGAAGAATAGTTGTAAACAAAATACAGTGGCAAAATTAAGTCGAATCATTTTGTACAGGTTTCCGGGGATCTCTGCTGAAGGCGCTGAATGATTTCGAGAAAAATAAGGAAGGAGGAATGTTTATAAGTTCTTGCTTCATTCATTGCCAGACATTGATGACTGAGATATGGAATTCGCCGAAATCTTTAAGGATAAACAACAAGGTGAGGAAAGTTTTATCATTTGTATTCGAATGCCGTTATCATGTGGAGATTTCTTGTTAACTCAAATATGGTGACGGAAGTTCTATCATCCCAGCCGTATATTTCTCTGTGAGACAGATGAAAGCATAAATACCATAAGCTTAAGCTGCTTAGTGTTATCAAATCAAAATCTGTTTTTCTTTCATTTGTTTCTTGGTTTTCTGTCACTTTCTTAACTAAACTTGGCATCTGACTGTTTTGAGCTTTGCTATTCCGAATAGACAATTGCAGAGTCAGTGGGGGACTGGTACTTCAATCGAAGTGCAGCGAAGCTAATAGACTGCCCGTTTCCATGCAATCCGACCTGCTACAATGTGAATTTCACTCGAGGTTGATTGAACTCAAGAAACGCTTTCAACTTTTCAACTGTTATTCCGAACTGTAGATCTTTGGAGCCTCAGTTCACCCTAGTGAAAATTCTACCCTCCTTGTCCAGACTCCGAGCACGATCCTATCCCTGTAGAGAAAATTTAACACAGTATATAGCTGCTGTCACTTCTTTTTACATGGAGGAAGAAACTTTGTTTTTTACCTTCAAAGGCTAGAGACCATTTTGCTACAGCTTAGTGATGTAGCTATGTATAAAAAGACGATAATGTACGTCATTTTTGTAACCAAAAAGTGTCTAGATTTTTCTATTATGTGACATTTTTTGGACTGTCAGCAACAATTTAATTTTGTATTAATTTTACTCGTTATATTTGGACCGTTGAATCACAAATACAAAACCCAAAATTCTAAAACTAGTTTCTTGAGCTACAAGACCTCTATCTATTCCATGAGCTAAGGCAAAAGAACGCTATTTTTTATATTAAGTGCTCATTAATAATCGTCTCATGTGAATTAACGATTAGTTGTCACTCATGTGTCGAGAGTCTAACATTTTTTTTAGTATGCAACACATTTTTTCTGCTTCAAAATAATGCTACCCTTCTTTTTGGTCTGAAAATAATGGCCTACCTTTTCTTCTTTTTTTTTTTTTTTTGTTGTTGATAATAATGCCTCATTCTATGGATTTATTCTATAAAACATTGAAAAAAAAAAAAAAAAAAGACAAAAAAAAAAAAAAAAAGTAAAATTAAAAAACCAAAAACCAAAAACAAAAAAAACAAAATAAAGCTTCTTGTCTTAATGAAAACTGGCAGTTAGTTTTTCAGTGTCCGTTTGACTGCGTGAGCAGAGCACCGGAGGCAGTCAGTCAATTGATGGTGGGGTCAGTGGCGAATCCCAGGCTTCGCAGCCTGCTATGGTGGCGAAGATGGGCCAAAAAGGACTGGGCAATCGCCGCCGTCGGATTTACCGTTATCGCCTTCGCTCTCACTCTCCTCTCCAACTCTTGGCGCGACGAACCAGACTCCGAAATCTCCCGCCCGTTTCTTCCCAACGCCGCCGCCTTCGATTTCGTTGACTTGACCTTGCTGCGCAACGCCAAAGATAGAGGCGCCCGTACTCAATCCAATTCCTCTACTTTCCAATATCTCTCTCTCTCTCTCTCTCTCTCTCTCTCTCTCTCCCCGCCCTAATTGTTTGAATTTTGGTTTTGCAGTTTGTTTGGACGGGACTGCCCCTGGCTACCATTTCAGGAAGGGATTCGGATCCGGCGCCAACAATTGGCTGCTTCACATTGAGGTCAAAATTCAATCCCTGTGCCTTTTTTTACAGGTCTAATACATATTGTTCCATTCAATTTCATTGAATTTGCATATGCTAGTAGATTTTTATGTTTAGAATGGAAAATTGTGTGATGGGTTTGGTTAAAAAATCGAAAATGTAGGGTGGAGGTTGGTGCAATTCGATTGAATCGTGTTCTTGGCGCAAAGGTACTCTACTAGGGTCTTCTAATTACATGGATCGTCGAGTTCCCTTTTCTGGGATTTTGAGCTCTCATCCATCACAAAATCCTGGTAAGCTTGATTTTATTTGGCTGCTATTTTTATTCCCGTAACGCTTCGTTTTGTAATTCTAGCTCATTCTAAGTTGTTGGCCATCTAATTGATGTGATTCAATTCATTGTTTGGAGCATTCTCTAGAATTCTTTAACTGGAACAAGGTCAAAATCAGATACTGTGATGGCGCGTCCTTCGCTGGCCACCCGGAAAATGAGCCTAAGGTGCATTGTGTTTGGAGATTTTGCTGCCTTGTTTTAATTTTATAAACGGAATAGTTTAACATTGGCTGTTCTTCTATTTCATAGAATGGATTAGGACCTTTTTTTAGGGGCCAGCTCATCTGGGAAGCAGTTATGGATGAACTCTTGTCAATTGGCTTGTCAAAAGTGAAACAGGTATCTCGTGGTTACTTTTGGTTAAGCTCTATTTGAATAATATGAACTGCAGTTCACAGCTTTTAAACATCAGAAATTTTCTATGCATGTATTGATGATTATGACAATACAAGATGTCTTTTTCACTCTCGTTCTAAGAGCTGGTTTCATTAATATTATAATGATATGATTGGACCAGCAATTGTAATACCATTCTCCGCAAGAAAAGTATTATTTTCCACCGTGAACTAATTGAAAGCTACTCATCGAGATTATTACAATGAGTGGTCTATTTCTGCTAATACGTATGAGTGGCACTCTTACAGGCCCTTCTTTCAGGATGCTCTGCTGGTGGGTTAGCGACTCTTATACATTGTGATGACTTTCGACATCTTCTGCCTAAGGATGCAACTGTCAAATGTCTTGCTGATGCAGGTTTTTTCCTTGATGAGTATGTTTTTTGCGTACTAGTGCCTTCGGCACCTACATCTTTTAGTGAACCTGTTCAAGATGAAATCTTTCTAGGATTATACAAGGATCATATTTCTTTGTGTTCGCTTCCAGGATCATATAATATCTCCTAAATCATAAATTTCATAAAATGATGGTGTTGCCTGATTCTACTCTCTCATTTTCATACCTCAGAATATGAGACCCATCAAAATGGAACACCTATGTACCACATTTTTCTAAAATGATTGAAATTTTTCCTATCAAGCAACAGTAGGATTTTTTAAATTGTTTTGCATGTACGATGCTATTCCCTTTTTTCCTATCTAGTGCATCCTCTGTGCTCAGGATAGTGAATTCATAAAGAAATAGGAGATGTAGGGAGAGAAAGAGGGAAAGTTTTGAGCCATTTTCTGTTTCCTACATTTCAGGGAAGATGTTCTCCAGCATCGGACGATGAGGTCTTTCTATAATGATGTTGCCATCCTTCAGGTTAGCTTTGATCTTTACTATTACTAGCTTATGTAATATTTATATTTTTTTATCACTCAATGTTTTTTATAGAAACTTAATTCTATCAAATTCTGTCAGATCTGCAGGATCCACCATTTGATTATGAGATGTAAAAACTAGTCGATATGTTTTTAATTTATATGGATCCATCTGCTTGTTCTTTTTTGTGAGTCTGACACATCATATATGAGAAAGGGTTTCATTCATCTTGGTCTATATCACTTAATGACAGAAAGCTTTAGGACATTAGTCATTAAACAGTACCTTCATTGCTTTCTCTTGCTTATTTTTCTGTTGCGCTGTCAGGGTTTATCAAAAAGTTTGAACAAGGATTGTCTTTCAAGGATGGAACCAGCTAAGGTAGTTGTTCTTTTCCTCTATATGGTGCCAAATAGTCAAATTTTATAGCTTATTTTTCTGCTCAGTTATGATTTATAACACAAAGCCCCCATTTTTTGTTGTGAACTTCTACACCAGTGTCTCTTTCCTGAAGAAGTTATTAAACACATTAATACCCCAGTGTTTCTTGTCAACCCAGCTTATGATTTTTGGCAGGTAATTTTCTTCAGAACCCAAGCTTCATTTACTTGTTATCAGAAATTGATTTGCATTCTTTTATCCTTTTTATGACATTAGGTACAACATATCTTGATACCTGAAGCAGCAGATCCACATGACTATTGGAGAAAGTGTAAACTGAACATTCACAATTGCAATCCCAGCCAGCTTAAAACACTACATGGTAATTAAATTTGAGAAAACCAAATTATATATTGCCCGACTGTCCAGGAAAATCACATACACATAATGCTGTTCTGACTCTATGTAGCTAAGCATACTTGTGACCCACTCTTCATGTGCTACATCCCAATGATCTGATAACTGTTAATTCAGGTGGTTGATCGTAACCATCTATAGATTTTTGTGGACTATAAACCAGCATATTTGCACACTGCATGCTGTGATGAGCAGGAAGTTTTGAGTCTTCTCATCACATTGCATTTAAAGTAACCTATGAAAAATGTTACCCTAAGAATCCTAGAGTCTGTGCACCATGAACCAGCATCTTTTACAGTTGCAAGTTGCAACAGTGGGCATTACTAATGTTAACTTCACAGATGTACATTGTCAAACTAGGGGATTATAGTATTGGTTCATCTTACATGTATTTTGTAGCTTCACTAGCTTCAGGCTTCTTGTCAATCGAAAAATAGTCCAAAGATAGGTCCTTGCAATTTGTTCTATAAAGAAGTGTAAATATAAACAGAATATTGTGGCAGATTAACGTATCAACTTATTTCATACAGGTTTCCGTGATTCTATGCTGAAAGCACTGACTGAATTCCAAAAAAATACGGAAGGAGGAATGTTTATAAATTCATGTTATATTCATTGCCAGACGTGGATAACCGAGACATGGCATTCACCCACTTCTCCACGAATAAACAATAAGGTGTGGAAATTTTAATCATCTCATTCCCTTATTGGAAAACAAATGGTTTTGTGTCATTTTTAAACTACCTTTCTGACCGATTTGAACTTTCATAGACAATTGCGGAGTCTGTGGGTGCTTGGTACTTTAGTCAGAATGCGGTAAAGCAAACTGACTGCCCATTTCCATGCCATCCCACCTGCTATCATATAAATCTCACTGCTCTATGTCATTTTTTTTTATTGAACTCAAGAAAACTTCCAACTTTCTAGTGGATTATTCCCAACTTTAAATCTTTACTTCCTGGCGGAAATCTTCCCCTATTGTTTATGCTCCTATCCCTGTAGACATTGAGAAGGAAGGTATCTATCAAACACGAAAGGAAAATAGAGACTAGGTGTGAAGAAAATGGAATAACAGTTTATACTTGCCATCATGTTACAAGTTTTTTATATAGAGGAGAGAAACACTTTTTAATATGATGCTCTATGTGCTTTCAATGTAGTAATTGTTCTTTGTGATGTAAACATGTATCCCGTGGATATCTTTTGTACTTTGCTTTCCAGAAAAAGATTTAGCAATGAAAATACGGAGACTGGAGACAGGATGAAAGTATAAGGATCTTCCTCCCCTTTGCTTGTTTGCTCACTTTCCTTGAGGTTTTCGAAATATACATGTATATGTATATGTACATATATGTTGTATTCTTATAAATGTTTCTGTTCATGCAACTGAGTGTGCCTAAATACCATGAGTTTGGCATTACGGCATCAAAATCTGCTCATCTTTTTTGTTTGAAAAAAAATGGTTTTCTGTCATTTTTCATCCTGAACTTGTTATCTGACTGGTTTGAACTTTGATAGACAATTGCAGAGTCTGTGGGTGACTGGTACTTTGGTCGAAATGCAGTAAAGCAAATTGACTGTCCATTCCCATGCAATCCCACCTGCTATCATATGAATTTCACTACTTTCTCACGAGGTTGATTGAACTCAAGAACGCTTCCAACTTTCTGGTAGGTCCATCTGTAGAAATTGACAATGAAGGTGTGTAGCATAAAAAGGGAAAACGAAGAGAAAAAATGGTTTATACATTGATATCACATTTTCACTTGTTTACATAGAGAAGAAAGGCATCCTGCAATTTCTATCAATCAGATGAAATGTTTGCCTTTCAATGTAGTAGTGATACTGCTTAAACAGCTTTGTACCTTGCTTTCCGGATTCTCATCCTTGCGTTCGTAGTAACTGTTTTTTTTTGGATGCAATTTTTATGATTATATCCTTTGATTATTTTTTCCCAAAGTTTATATTTCTGTTTCTCTCGGGGTGGGGAACCAAAGGTTTTAACCTGCATTGCCTGTGAGGAAGATGCCTGGCTTTACGGAGTATCTCTTCATTTAATTGGTTGCCAACTACGTACGAAATAGACGAATCGTTCGAATTTTATCGGATGTCCCCGAAGAAACTACGTAGGAAATATTTGGGGAGTTTTGAGACTTTGAAGAACTTCATATGCATTCTGTAGTTTGGATCCCTTTACCACTTAGGAGTCATTTTATCTTGAATTGCTCCTGAATTTATTTTTAACGTCTTGCTTTGCCTCCCACTGTTAAGTCTAAAAAAAATATGTTAAATTTGCTGACGTCTTGTGTGAGAATTCTGGGTCTGGCAACGGACCACTCTTCCGTGTGGATCTATACACATAAGACACCTCCTACAACATCCCCTGATTTCTCATGCTAACCTTGGCCTATTTTTTGGTACAAATTTTTGTCTCACGTAAAGTGAACATCATATGTGCTACATCATCAAATTTAACACATTTTAGTTGAATTTGATGGTGGGGGGAAAATGTAACACAAACAGTTAATTTCATAGGCAAATTAGGTCAAAATGACTATTAAGGAGCAGAGAGGGATTTCAAACATCTATTGGAAAACATTGTAGTAGTTACTTTTATGAAAGAGTTTTGAAGAATATGGACTTCTTTCATTTGATCGAACTTCCGAAACACAAAACGGTGCAATATGATATCCATGTTTCATAACCTCAGGCAAACTAGCTAGTTTGGCATTGTCCAAAATGTCTTCACCATGTGACGAAATTGCGTTACAATGCATCTAACATCTTCCTCACCTCAAATGTTGTCAAGAGACATCGTAGCTAATGAATACCTCAATATTGTCAATCACGTACGATTATAAGGGGTTTCATTGTTACGCTACCTCTTACATTATTTCTGTTTTGCAGAGTGCCTATGGGCATCATTTCTCACATGGGAAAGATATTTTGGAAAAGATCCACACTAGAAGAGAGTAGGCAATGCATTACAAATGCTAACACAAATTTGTATCATCTATTTGTACCATTATATCATTTATCTAATAAAAATGTGATTCACATGTGTTGAGGGACCTTACCTCTAATAAAAATATGTTCATTATCCATTGATCATGATAATTACATCCATCTGTAAGGCTGTAATACAAAGGTAAACTTCATCTTCGAAATAAACAATTCAATCAAAATCAAGTAATAAAAAGTAAAAATTAAAATTTACGGGCTTTTTATCAAAAGTGGTTCATAAGATTGTTATAACTCCTCACTTTGGTATCTGCGATCTAAAATCGATAGTAGTTCTTCAGATTGTTCATGGTCAATCAAGAAGTGGTTCTGGCGATTGTCTACCGTCAATCATTTTGGTTATTTTGTGAGAAATCTCCGCTAAATTGAGAATAGTTTTGTCAAACAACATTCCCAATTCATAATCTCTCAAGTCATATCAGGAATTAGGATAATTTGATTTTGCTGATTCTGTCACACGAAACTTAAGTTTAGTTACTGGTTTACATTTGTATACAGATCGTAATTCTAATTTTCCTTCCGACGACGAGGAACTCAAGATCTTTGAATAGATTGAAGTTATTGAACTCACTCATTATATTGCAATATGTTGCACGAGTTTATCCAATGTACAGAACATGTATGGAGGTTAACAAGGGTACACGTGATGATAGCAAAGAACTTGCTAAGCACAAGAAAATATGGATTCCAGGTGTACTAAATTTCATCATGTACATTCTTGCTAGCCGTGTAAGTTAATCGTCTTATCTTGGTTTATTTTAACTGCTGCATAAGTTGCTGGTAAATATTGTTGAGTTACAAATGTAGTTCATCGTTTGTTTGGTACTCGGGGCATTTTGGTATTTTTATTTCTGCTCAACGAGAGATAGATTGTTGGATCTCTGCTTGTCGAAGTGAAAATGGATGTGTTCAATACAATTTACTTTTCTTTTGCTCAACACCAAACAAAAGAAATATTAGAATACGATAAATTGTGCCTACTTAGTTTGTCTAGTCTATAAATTTTCTCATGAGGCAACTAAGCATATACACATTACAATTTTATCTACTTGGTTTGCACCATGATCCCGTGGTTCACACATAAGTTTATTGACATACCTTCTCCTAATTGATTATTTTTGCTTTATCTGGAAGATATTGCAATACTTTTGTGTTTAGTACATAGAATATGAAAAACTGGGATTAATTCCGAAACATTACTACATGAAGCTTAAAATTTTAGCTTGCATCAACCTGTATTAGTGATCCAATACGATGCATGTGAGCCTTATTCCGAAACATTTTTACCAACTCAAGTCTTTCTAATTCTACCCAAAATATGTCAAATAAGAACATGTATTGTACCACAATTAATTGTACTAGAGAAAGCTCTTTATGTGAGTTCCAATGGCTGTTACAGTCATAATGAACGATTATGCAGCAATTCAAAGATTCCCCTCGACAATTCCAGTGAGAAATTGATTCATCCTATTGACTCTTGACAAATACAAAACTACGCTGCAATTCATCTGAGTGCAGATCTAGAGGAAATTCCTAACCAGTCTCATTTTATGTCGACTACAAACAGATCATAGTTCCACTTTCCCTCTATTTCTCCATGTTCCATATTCCATGGAAGTGTTTGATCATGCTCCTTTATTCTAGCTCCACTCTCCTAAATTTAGGTTGTGGCTTATTACTTGAGCCTTAATTTTTGGACCCCCATAGTGCCTTAGGCACCTACATCTTTTAGTGAACCTGTTCAAGATGATATCTTTCTAGGATTATACAAGGATCATATTTCCTTGTGTACGCTTCCAGGATCATATAATATCTCTAAATCATAAATTTCATAAAATGATGGTGTTCCATATTCCATGGAAGTGTTTGATCATGCTCCTTTATCCATACGTCAGGATATGAGACCTATCAAAACGGAACACCTACATACCGCATTTTTCTAAAATGTTCGAAGTTCTTCCTATCAAGTTAGGATAGGATTTTTTTTTTTTTTTAAATTGTTTTACGTGTATAATGCTTTTCCCTTTTTTCTTCCCTAGTGCATCTTCTGTGCTTGGGATAGTGAATTCATAAAGAAATAAGAGGGAAAGTTTTGAGCCATTTTCTGTTTCCTACATTTCCTTCAAAACCCAGCTTATGATTTTTGGCAGGTAATTTACTTCAAAACCCAAGCTTCATTTACTCGTTATCAGAAATTGATTTGCATTCTTCTCTCATTTCCTAATTTTATGACATTAGGTACAACATATCTTGATACCAGAAGCAGCAGATCCACGTGGCTATTGGAAAAAGTGTAAACTGAACATTCACAATTGCAATCCCAACCAGCTTGAAATAGTACATGGTGATTAAATTTGAGAAGACCAAATTATATATTGCCTGACTGTCCAGGAAAACCACATAAACCTAATGCTGGCCCGACTCTATGTAGCTAAGCATGCTTGTGGCCCACTCTTCATGCGCTACTGTCCCAATGATCTGATAATTCTTAATTCAAGTGGTTGATCGTAACCATCTATAGATTTTTGTGGATTATAAACCAGCATATTTACACACTGCATGCTGTGATGAGCAGGAAGTTTGGTTCTTCTCATCGCATTGCATTTAAAATATCCTATGAAAAATGTTACCCCAAGAATCCTAGAGTTTGTGGGCCATGAACCAGGATTTTTTACCGTTGCAAGTTGCAAGAGTGGGCATTACTAGTGTCAACTTCACAGATGTACATTGTCAAACTAGGGGACTATAAGTATTGGTTCATCTTGCATGTATTTTGTAGCTTTAGGCTTCTTGTCAATCGAAAAATAGGGTCCACAGATAGGTCATTGCAATTCGTTCTATTATGAAGTGTAATTGTAAACAGATATTGTGGCAGATTAACGTATCAACTTATTTCATATAGGTTTCTGTGATTCTATGCTGAAAGTACTGATTGAATTCCAAAAACATACGGAATGAGGAATGTTTATAAATTCATGTTATATTCATTGCTAGACATGGATAACCGAGACATGGCATTCACCCACTTCTCTACGAATAAACAATAAGGTGTGGAAATTTTCATCATCTCATTCCTTTATTGGAAAACAAATGGTTCTGTCATTTTTAAACTACTTTTCTGACTGATTTGAAGTTTCATAGACAATTGCGGAGTCTGGGTGATTGGTACTTTAGTTGGAATGTGGTAAAGCAAACTGACTGCCCATTTCCATGCCATCCCACCTGGGATTTGGATCCTCTCCTAAGTCCGAGAGGATTCTCCTGATCAAGTAGTGTGGGCTATTTGATTTTTATTCAAAAGCTACAAACATAGGGGTTCCTTTAAAGTTATATTAATTATAACTGTTGGATGAAAATCCAACGACCCACACTGCTTGATCAGGAGGATTCTCTCCTTGGGCTCAGGAGAGGATCCAAATCGTCCCACCTGCTATCATATAAAGCTCACTGCTCTATGACCTTTTTTTATTGAACTCAAGAAAACTTCGAACTTTCTAGTGGACTATTCCCAACTTTAGATCTTTATTCCCGGCGGAAATCTTCCCTTATTGTTTATGCTCCTCTCCCTGTAGACATTGAGTAGGAGGTGTCTATCAAACCCGAAAAGAAAATAGAGACAAGGTGTGAAGAAAATAGAATAGCAGTTTATACTTGCCATCATGTTACAAGTTTTTTACATAGAGGAGGAGAGAAACACTTTTTAGTATAATGTTCTTTGTGCTTTCAGTGTAGTAATTGTTCTTTTGATGTAAACATGTATGCCGTGGATATCTTGTGTACTTTGCTTTCCAGAAAAAAGATTTAGCAACGAAAATACGGAGACTGGAGACAAGATGAAAGTTTAATGATCTTCCTCCCCTTGTTGCTTGTTTGCTCACTTTCCTCGAGGTTTTCGAAATATATGTATGTGCAACTGAGTGCCTGAATACCACGAGTTTGGCATTACGGCATCAAAATCTGCTAATCTTTTTTGTTTGAAAACAAATGGTTTTCTGTCATTTTTCATACTGAACTTGTTATCTGACTGGTTTGAACTTTGGAAGACAATTGCAGAGTCTGTGGGCGACTGGTACTTTGGTCGAAATGCAGTAAAGCAAATTGACTGTCCATTCCCATGCAATCCCACCTGCTATCATATGAATTTCACTGCTTTCTCACGAGGTTGATTGAACTCAAGAACGCTTCCAACTTTCTGGTAGGTCCATCTGTAGAAATTGACAATGAAGGTGTGTAGCAGAAAAAGGGAAAACGAAAAGAAAAAACGGTTTATGCATTGATATTACATTTTCACATGTTTACATAGAGAAGAAACACATCCTCTAATTTCCATATCAACCAGATGAAATGTTTTCCTTCAATGTTGTAGTGATACTTCTTAAACAGTTTTATGATGTTACTATGTTTGTACCTTGCTTTCTGGATTCTCATGCTTGCGTTAGTAGTAACTATTTTTTTCGTTGCAATTTTATGATTATATCCTTTGATTATTTTTCCCCAAAGTTTATATTTCTGTTTCTCCGGGTGGGGAACCAAAGGTTTTAACCTTCAATTGCCCGTGAGGAAGATGCCTGGCTTTACAGAGTATCTCTTCATTTAGTTGGTTGCCAACTACAAAGGAAACAGAAGAATCGTTCAAATTTTATCGGATGTCTTGAGACTTTGAAGAACTTCATATGCAATTTGTAGTTTGGATCCCTTTACATCTTGAGGTCATTTTATCCTGTATTGCTTCTGAATTTTATTTTTAATGTCTTGCTTTGCCTCCCACTGTTAAGTCTGTCAAAAATATGTTAAATTTGCTAACGTCCTGTGTGAGAAATTCTTGGTCTGGCAACGAACCACGTGTCCGTGCGGATCCATACACATAAGACACATCCTGCCCCATCCCCTGATTTGTCATGCTAACCTTGGCCCACTCTTTGGTTCCAACCCCTCTAACATGTTTCTAGTTCTGGGTGCCGAATAGAAGACCTCCTCATGGCCACATTTTAGCAAAAAAGTGAACCTCAACGCACCACATCATCAAATTTAATAAATCTATTATACAATTTGAAGGTGAAGGATAAAGTGAGACACAAGAATGTTAAGAGATAAGTGGTCTTAAAATGAATTTTAAGGAGCAAATTGGTGCTTAGAACATCTATAGGCAAGCATAGTGGTACAAATTTTTGTCTCTCAAAGTGAACTTCACATGTGCTACATCATCAAATTTAACAGATTTGAGTAGAATTTGATAGTGGAGGTAAAAATGTAACACAAACAGTTAATTTCATAGACAAATTAGGTCAAAATGACTATTAAGGAGCAAAGAGGGATTTCAAACATCCATTGGAAAACATTGTAGTATTTACTTTATGAATGAGTTTTGAAGAATCTGGGAATCCAATTCTTTCATTTGATCTGACTTCCGACACACAAAACGGTGCAATATGTCTTTTTCCAAAATGTCTTTCCCATGTACAACATTGTGTTACATTGTCAAGGGACATCGTAGCTAATAAAAACCCTCACTTTCATCAATTACGTGGGATTATAAGGGGTTTCATTGTTACGATACCTCTTACACCATTTCAGGTTCGCAGAGTGCCGATGGGCATCATTTTCTCACATGGGAAAGATATTTTGGAAAAGATCCACACTAGAAGAGAGTAGACAATACAGTACAAATGCTAACATAAATTTGTATCATCTATTTGTACTATCTATCTAATAATATGATCCACATGTGTTAATGGACCTTACCTCTATTAAGTGTAACACTACTATTTTTTTTTCCTCCTTGGCTATCCTTCCTTTCTTTTCTTTTTTCTTTCTCCCTCCAGTTTTTACCGTTCCTTGTAGAGTACTCTACCTTTCTCTTTTCTCTTTTCTTTTTCTTTTTCTTTTTCCTTTTTCCTTTTTTTAAAGTATAACGATCAAGTTTCTTTCTCCCACCAGTTTTTCCCGTTCCTCGTAGAGCATCCCACCTCTCCCTTTTCTTTTTCTTTCATTTATTTCTTGACGAAAAACAATCAAATACTTAAATATTGTTGACAAGAAATTCTGTTCTTTCCTTGGTAAAGTGAATAAGTGGAAAAGAAAAGAATAGAAATAAAGAGAAAACAATATGCACGCGACTACTAAAATCAGTAAAAAAATATTTTTGGAAAAATTAAACCAATAGGGGAAAATAAATAAGAAAAAAAAAATCCTTAGTTGATAGTTTCATCATTTATCTTTCTACAAAAAACAATGACGATGTCATGTAGTTGAGTCAAATAATTAAAACGCAAATATGGGTTATCACACTTCTAGTTCACTCTTCTAGGATCCGACCCCTTAACTTGTCCATTCAACTCCTAGCCTACTTATTCTCCATCATGAAGTGGTTGTAGTTAACATATGTACTTTGTTGTAACTTCAAGAAGCTCCTCATTCGAGTCTTTGATAGCTCAGAGGATCTTCTACGCATCGTAACTTAGTAAACTTAAGTTATGAGGAAATCCGATGAGCCAGTTCCACAAACGGAGAGCTCCGATGAGAGTTCAATCGACCTTGCAAGGTTTCATATTTCTTTTAATATCTAACATATTTTAGTTTTCTTTTAAAATTAAAACAAAGGATTTTTGCATCAGATCATTATGGTTGTTCGAAATAGGAATAAACAAATCGAATAAATGAATTTCATGTTTAATTCTTGTGTATTAATTTTTCAGCTTGTCAGGTGAAATTTTTTTAGAGCTTGCAAAAGGGAAGTATGGCAAGAGAGATGGAGGAAATAGATCAACGTGGTCAATACAATGCGATAGAAATTCAATACAACGTGCTATACAATCTATATTGTTTGGGATAGGATGTTTGTTCGTCATCATGATTTATTTTGGCCCGATGCTTGTGGACCCTTTGTTCTTGTACGTTCCCATCATCAATGAAAATATCAAGTGTCTCGCGTTGGACGAAAAATTAAAAAAAATAGCTATTGTTTTGAGAGCATTTACAGATCTCGTTTATCTACTTCAAATCATCTATTTTGTGTTGCCTACGCGGTGCAAATTGAGCATTATGGAAGATCTCCTAACTGCTGATGAGTTTTTCGTACTACGCAAATCCCTAATACAAAACATTTTAGCTGTTCTTCCTATTCCACAAGTAAGTCAGTTACTTTTCTGAGGTAAATTATTTTTCGTAATCTCTTAAGTCATATATTAGGAATTAGGATAATTTGATTTTGCCGATTCTGTCACACAACACTTTAAGTTTAGCTATTGGTTTGCATTTGTGTACAGATCGTAATTCTAATTTTCCTTCCAACAACAAGGAACTCAAGATCTTTGAATAGAATGAAGTTTTTGAACTCACTTATTCTATTGCAATATGTTCCACGAGCTTATCCAATGTACAGAGTATGTAAGGACTTTAACAAGGAAACACGTGAACGTAGCAAGGAACTTGCTAGGAGAAGGCAAATATGGATTCCAGGTGTATTAAATTTCATCATGTACTTCCTTGCTAGCCATGTAAGTTATTGTCTTATCTTAGTTTATTTTAACTACTCCCTAAGTTGCTTGTAAATATCGTTGAGTTACAAATGTAGTTCTTGGTTTGTTAGGTACTTGGGGCATTTTGGTACTTTTTTTCTGCTCAGCGAGAGATGGATTGTTGGATCTCTGCTTGTCGAAGTGAAAATGGATGCAACTTAAGTACTTTACAATGTGATAATACTCATTTCAGAAACGTCACACTTCTAAATGATTTATGTCCAACAAATCCACCAAATCCAATGGCATACGATTTTGGCATATTCATTGACACTCTCCAGTCTGGCATAGTGGGAACAACAGATTTTCCTCACAAACTCTTGATGTGTTTCTCATGGGGATTACGAAATCTAAGGTTTGTCCGACCTAAGTATTTTTATTCTTAGATATTGCGTCATGCACATGAATTTTTTTACCATACCGGTACACGGAATGTGCCCGTGTTTGACTATCAAGATTCAGTCACGCAAGCCGTCCAATGAGTTGCCCCTTTTCAAATATTGTTTTAATATATTGCTCCAATGAATTCTGCAGTTCTTTTGCTTCAAACCTCAACTCTAGTACCTATGCATGGGAAAGCGTATTTGTAATTTTTATTTCGATCAGTGGCCTGCTACTATTCATGTATCTGCTTGGACATGTGCAGGTTGGTGATGAATTATATATTGTGTATCTGGTTTTCTTTTGAGTAGTTTCTACATATATGCATGTAAATTTCAGGATTTAATAAACTCAATGTCAAACCTCCGTGTTGTGGAGTAGATATTTATGCAGGCAATTAGCAAAACATCCAAGATATCGCAGCGGAAATCAGTCATATGTCCACAAATAAAGTTCATGGTATCTGAATATAGACTCCGTAGCGAAATACAAGATGAGATTTGGGAATTAGTAAGAGAAGCACTTGAAGTGGACGAAGATAATCCTGCGGCGAATATCTTCTCGTTACTTCCTTTGCAACTTACGAAACATATGAAGCGGTATCTCTTCTTGGCTACACTACGGAAAGTAATGTCCTATCTCTCTCAATATCTCCATGTACATAACTCTATATAAACTTGTGGCAGTAGATGGTTTTTCGAGTAGTCTAGTTAACGAATTCAAGCTATTATATAGATAGGAGCATGAACTCCCCTTTGAGTTCTTATCGATGTATTCTTAAGTTTCTAATTACATGTATGAATTAACCCCAGTTGCCAGGGCTTGAAAACATAGACAGACAAGTGTTGGAAAAAATCATGAAACATCTTGAGCCAGTTAGCTATGCTGATGGTACCTATATTATTCGAGAGGGGGAGCCACTAGATAGGATGCTCTTCATCACGCAGGGCATTGCACTTGCTTACAAGACTGGAACTACTGGTGGCGAAAGTGGCTCGTCAAGCACTACACATATTGCGAAAGGTGAGGTTTATGGAAAAGAACTTATGGCTTGGGCGGCAACATCTACTCCATTTTCCGGCTTACCCATCTCAGACCAAACCGTCAAGTCCCACGAAAAAGTTGAAGTCTTTGCAATCAGGGCTGCCAGATTAAAACGAATTGTCTCTAAGTTCCCGACAGATTTCAACACAGAGGTTATTACTACGGTGGAAATAACTAGTAACTAGATTTTTAATTCAAAATAATTATATATTCAGCTATTTTTCAAATTTAAAGAATTTAAACGTCATCTACTTTCCTCAACATTAGCAAAACACAAGAATACCTGTCAGGTTCAATTGTACCACAATTGTAATAGAGAAAGCTCTTTATGTGAGTTTCGATGTCTGTTACAGTCGTAATGAAGGTTTAAGCAGCAATCCAAAGACTCCCCTCAGCAGTTCCATTGAGAAATCGACTAATACCATATACTCTCGACCAATACAAAACTAAGTTGCAATTCTTCTGAGTGCAGGTCTAGAGGAACTTCCTAACCAAAGATTGGTCCTATAATATTTCATCACTATGTTTTTTTTTTTTTTTTTTTTGCTAAATAGGATCCAAATTCAATCACTCCAAGTAATACCAATCATGGAACCGAACGAGAAGGAGTCCGTTTCCTTTCCTACTTGCATTGAACAGATTCAAACAGGAATCCAACAATATATGTACATACAATACATATGCCAAAGTCAGAAACATCTGATCAGACGAGAAACATAAAGCAATTACAAAACAAGCTCATAAGTGCCAACTAACAACACATCAACACGAAAAGTTATCCACAATATCGACCAAAATCCCTAATTATAGTCCATTAAAACCAGCATTCTAATCTAAATTTCTACACATAAAGAAAAAGAAAGCGCTGTGGTCCTGTAATTTGTTGATATGCAGCGTGGGCTAGCTGATTCGGTATATTCACCATTAGCAACCAAATTCAAACATGGTATTCAATTTTTTCCGGATTTTCTCAGAATCCAAACGGAGGATAAGAAAAGGGGAGTTAAGGCAGAGGAAAAAAATCACGAGCTGTCTGACACGGAGAGCCTGGAGAAATTTCCGGGCTAAGATCGCAGCCATGGCCGGTGGTGGCTGAGTCGATGGGTCTTCGTCGACGCGAGTGGGTTCGATTTGGGGACGTGAGCAGGCCAGTGCCAATCCTACATTTTCTCCCCTTCTGTCGATATGGGGCTCTGTGCAAGTGACCTCTCCCTTTTTTCTCAAACATAACATTCTAACTATTTGTACTATTATTTGTACAATCGGTTTAATAAGAATGGAATCTACTTCCTTTTGATAGACCTTACCCTTTAAATGATAAGTGTAGCACTACTTTTTTTTCTTCTTCTCTTTGGCTGTCCAGTAGGAATATTTCAAAAACTAGAGAATTTAAGGTCATCTCCAATGAATCATGCTATAGGGCTATAGGCTTGTTTATAGCCTGAAATGAAGAAAAAACCGTCTCTAGTGGATCCAAGGGAGGTCCAGACCAAAGAAAAAAGGGACCCATTGGGCCAAACTCTAGCCCATGGCCATAAGGTTAGGCATTTGAAGCTAGCTAGCCAGCCAGCTGTCAGCAACACACATACTAGCTAACGTCAGCTAGTCATTAGATTTGAATTTTTTAATTTTGTTTTTTAAGACGAAATTTGAAAAAAATAAAAATCTAATTTCTTTTTATAAATATCTACGTCAATTCTCACATCATTTTCACCCTTTCATACTATGTTACTTCATTTTATTTCAATTCTTCACATTCTTTAAATTCCTATATGAAATATTTTATTTTTCTTGAAGCAAAACAAATATAGCATTTCGAAAAATTAGAAGGATTGCATAAAGATAAGAAATATAAAGAGTTACTCATTTATAAATATGGTAGTTTAATTCAATTAACCAATAAAGTTAAAGAACAAACTTAAAAAAAACCATAAATTATTAAGGGGGCTAAAAAAATAGCTCCCTTCGGTTGGAGGTGATATATAAATATGACATGATAGTGTTCATTAATTTTTTTTTTTTTTGGCAAAGTTATAATCTGGACAGGGACTAAACATGACCCCTTCTAAGTCCTTAGAAAAGCTGTCTTCAGTAACTTAATGACCAAACAAGCCCGAAAGTCAATTTGTCTAGTACTGCACATGTACACTCTTTCAATCAACATGACAAAAGGTCTTGGAATCCAAGGCTAGGATTTTGATGCAATTAGTTGCGATGCCTTGAGAAAATGCTCCATTAGGAATTTCTCAAAAATTCCCCGTTTCGCCACTTTTCCATCAAAATAGATTATGCTGCCATCTGTAATGGAATTACAAAGGAAAGTATCAAAAATCTTCAAAAGTATATCCTTTTATAGGGTAATATATGGGAATATATGGGAAAATATTGACTCATCAATATGATAAAAGTTATAACCTTTTTGTAAGTGATGTGTATTAGATAAGACAATCCAATAAAAGTTACAACTCTGTAAGTGATGTATCTTAGATAAGACAATCCAATAGAAGTTACACCTCTCTAGAAATGGTATAATGAATGTATGAAAAAGGAAAAGCCATTTATCTTGAACAAATCATTCAACGTTAAATCAAATTCTCTAGTATGTAAAATCTAGTTATGGGCATCAAGTACGAATCTATATACCACTTTGACACTTAATGTAAATTTAATGATAAGCTTTATCGAGGAAAGTCTCCAAATTAGCTTAAGAGAAAGTACTTCTCCTAATTAACCTTTACGAGAAGTTGCAATTCTGTGGAAATGGGATGATGAATGTCTATCAAATGAGGATGTATTCCTCATGACAAGTCAATGATTTCTACATCGTCCAAGGGGTTTACAACCACCATAACATTTGATATTACGCTTTAGATATATTATGCTTCAAATTTATTTTTAACTTCCTAAATACCACAAGTTTTGAATTATGCAAAGAAGTAAGTTTGCCTAGCCACATGGGCAATTTCATCATCCAAGAGGATAGGCAAATGAGTAGACAAACCTATATATTCACCCAAGTAGAAAACATTCTCTACCTCAATGTGAATGGATATATTCAATAGATCACTAAAATTGCACCATTTTTTTTCTTTTGTTCAACACCAAACAAAAGAAAAATTCGAATAATAAAATTGTGCCTTCTTAGTTTCTCTAGTCTACATAAATGTTCTCATGAGACAACTATGTTTATATTACAATTTTATCTACTTGGTTTGCATAATCTCTCAAAATGATCTAAGGTCAATGATGCATGAGCATCTCATGGATCCATAAACACTATTTTAAAGATATCCGCTTAACTATGCCTAAGCACCGATTTGCAATGTCAATGGTGAAATCAATTGTGGAGACACGTGCCCTGTCGAGAAAATCACCTTTGGTGAGCACAATTTTATGAGAATAAGACTTGGTGGGAAAAGACAAGACCGATCCTGAATACTACCTCTTTATTTTAACTTTTGGCTACTTACTCCAAATAAAGAAAGTAACCTTTGGTGAGCACAATTTGACGATTCGACCTAAAAAATATTTAACATCTAGCAGCTAGCATCTAGTTCACTCTTGGACAACTCGACCCCTTAATTTGTCCTTTCAACCCCTAGCCTCCTCATTCTCCCTAGTTAACATAAGTATTTTATCAGAATTTCAAGAAGCTCCACTCTTTGATAGTTCAGAGGAACTTTGATGAACCATTTCGAAAAATTAAGAGCTTCGATGCCAAGTCAATCGACTTAACAAGGTTTTATATTTCTTTTATTATCTCTAACATTTTTTTTTCATCTTCTAAAATCACACAAGAAAGATACTCTTTTGCGACCCTCTATTTCCGACAGGGCACACAACCATCGCAAATTCTCAGTAATATAGCGCGGAAGGTTTTTGGGAAAAAACTTTTGCGACTCTAAGTAACGTTGCAAATGATGACATTTGATACGACACCCTGCACACATTTTTTAATTTAGCGCCTCATTTTTCATAGCACGCCCTATCTATTGGAAGAAGCATGGGTGTACAGACAGCACAGCACAGCAAGAAAAGTCACGGCAAGCATGGGTAAAGGAAAGACAGCAAGAGTGTGCACTCTGGAAAGGAATGTGCATGTGATTGCTGACTCATGGACAGCAGGGAAAGGAATGTGCATGTGCATGTGTGCTGTTGCATCCGATTACAAGGGTGTAAAGTGTAAAGCTTTCAGCTTTCTTTGTATTGTGTATAAGTATGCCTTCCCATAAGGCTTTCTATGATATGAAAATGTATTACAATTCAAATCAGAAAATGCAATATGGTATTAGAGTAGGAAAAATAACCTGCTTCTGCATTTCTTCCAGCTGATCTTTTTCTTTTTTTTTGGAACCTTTATTCTCCTTATCAGTAGCATCCACATATGATATCTTGAAATCATATTTTCCAGAACTAGTTCCATTCCTATCTCCTATACTAAGCGCCTTCCCCTTCTCACCACCTAAACTTTCAGAAACCAAACCATCATTTTTTTCCTTCCAAGCCATGCTGCTCTACACCAGCACTGATAGAATCGTTGCACCAAGAAATTGCTTTGATTGATGTTCTTCTGCTGCACCAGCAAGAGAACCAGAAGCTATCTTGGAATTCTTTGCCTCCTTGGATAACTTATCCGCCATTGCCAGCAATTGGAAGAATACTTGTAGTAAATTTCTCCCAAATCCAGTGGCAAATCCTTCAGTTCACCTTTCTCGATTCCAGCTTTAGGAAGGAACTTTTTCAAGGTTTTGGAGAACCCATTGTTTTACAGGAACTGAGCCACGGCGCAGAGGAGTGGACCCTTCTGGTCGGGATTCAGAGTTTGTGCTCCGTTGGCAGAGCTATTAGGCTTACTATGCTCCATGTCTCGGTTTGCGAGCAGAACTTGGTGAGGCTTGAATGCTAGAAGGGTAGGCTTGATAGCATCCTCCTGCGTGCTTGTTAGGGATTTGGGCATACGAGGATTCTACTCTGAGTAGGTTTATTGGAGGAGGACGAGGAGGGAGAAGGACATGGCGGAAGAGAATTCTTATTCGTTTGGAGATTCCCAGATACCTTCCTCCTCAACCGTGTCTGAGGTGGATGTCAATCCAAATCAAAGATTAAGCTCGGTCTTGTTAAATGAGTTTAATTACTTACCTTGGTCGAGAGCAGTGAGTCTTGCCCTAGGTGGAAGGTCCAAGCTAGGGTTCATAAATGGAAGCATCGAAGTTCCTGATGTTTCTTCACCAACTTATGAAATCTGGCTTTGCAAGGATCAGCTAGTTATGTCATGGCTCCTAAATTCCATGGAACATAAACTAGCTGAAATATTCAGTTATTCTGAATCATCAT